AAACCGACCCCTCTAATAGTGTCAACATGCGCGTTTCGCACCAACGGCAACGTCATTTTGCTGGTCTCCGAAGTGGACCTATTCCGGGTGCCTGTTTTGCAACCGCCTGGGTTTTTGAAGGAAAACTGTGGGGAATTTGAAGGCCCCATTGTCGTGGTCGTGTCAGAATCTGGCCTCGGGAGCATGTTTTTGGCAAGCCGAGAAATGTTGACCCCCGCAGCCTTTTAGAGATTTTTTTTACTGCTGGCACCGTCAGCAGAATGGCATTTGAAGACGCAAAATTATGTGATTTCTATTGGGAAGTGCAACGACAGCAGTCCAGATGGTGTGTAATTTCCAAGCAACGGTAACATGTCGTTGTGTCTTGCAAGAAAAGTTGTGCGGCAGAAACATTTTTTTCAGGAGAAACTTCAGCGTCGCAGCTTCTTCAGGTACAGACCTGTGGACTTAAACAACACGTCCCTGCTTTTGTGCAAAGACCTCCACTGGAAGCTCCGCACGTATGCAAAACTGACCGTAGACCCTGGACCCTCGAGAATACGCTTAAAACCAAAAACGTAAACCACGTTCACAAAATGCGCAGAGGTGCGCAAAACCCCAGCTTGAACAATCAAAACAAGAACACATTCGCACGTGTGCTCGGGGATGCTGGCAACTCAGAATGCCTGCTGCACTTCCTACATTCCTGCCTGACCACGCTCTGGTCACCGTATGTTCTGGGAACACGAAGGTTATTATGGTTAGGGAATGGGTGCTCTGGTCACCGTATGTTCTGGGAACACGAACGTTATTATGGTTTGGGCATGGGTGCGCTAGTTCTCGTATGTTTTGGGAACACGAGCGTTATTACTGGTCACCGTATGCTCTGGGAACACGAACGTTATTCTGGTTTGGGCATGGGTGCTCTGGTCACCGTATGCTCTGGGAACACGAACGTTATTATGGTTAAGGCATGGGTGCTCTGGTCACCGTATGCTTTGGGAACACGAACGTCAGAAATGGGGGTACGGTTTACAAGCCGTTGGCTACTACTACTAGTACTACTACTACTACTACTACTATTACTACTACTCGTCTTACTACTACCACCGCGATTACTACAACTATTCCTACTATTCCTACTTCTACTACTAGTAGTAGTAGTAGTACTACTACTACGACTTCTACTACTACTAGATAATTTTTTGTTTGATGCTTGCCCTTTGTCCTGCCCCTATTAAATTTAGTACAAAGTTTTTTTGATGCTTAAAAAGTTTTTTGATGCGCTGGGCATATGTTTTTTGTATGCTTAAGAGATTTTTGTTGATCCCTCATTCGTAGGTGCCATGGATGCGTGGACGTTATTCATGAGCTCCACAGCGGAAGATTGAGTTTTAGACTTCAATTCTGAGTGTTGGTTGAGGGCTTTGGGATGCTGGGCCTGAATGAGGTAGGGCAGGGCATCCCCCTCTTCCCCGCTTACGCCCGAACGCTGGACCCCCCCCCACCTACATCACAACTTTACAACAGAAAATCCCTAAATTTAACATCCTCGCCCCTACCTTTTTCACCACCCGCAACCCTGAATTTCCAAAATCTGAATTCCAAATCCACTTTCAGAACTGCCCTCCTAAATCCGTGGTTCATGATTTTGGAATTGATAATGCCGGTCAGCACGGAAACTAGATTATAATCAAAATTGAATTATATATGAGCCATGTAGTGATAACTAAATCCAACAAGAAGGGCAAGCAACATGACGCTATAATAAATGCTAAGAAACCAATACATCAGGATGCGGCATTGGAAGGGGTGCCACCCCTCGGAGCCCAAGGCCAATTTCTTCGCATCGGAAGCACACAAACAAGGGCAGTGCTACGTGGTATTTCAAGGCCAGGGCGGAGGTTGATGACGGTTGCTACATGCTACAGGTTGAGGACGGTGCCAAGACATCCACCTTCTGGGTCACGCCGGTTCGAGGCGAGGTTGTGCGCAGCGCAAGGCCTATCCGGGAGAAGGGTGGCTTCGTCATCCAGCGCCAGGTTCGGGAGCCTTTGGGAGCCGACAAGCCGGAGGCGAAGGAGCAGCATGATGAGGACACGGAGGGCGAACCCCCGACCAAGATGCCAGCGGTTGCGAGGCAGCAAAGGGCGATCCCGGAAGGGGTTGTGGTTGGCAAGGTTGAGGGAGATGGCAACTGCTTCTTCAATGTAGTGGGCCAAGGCTTGGGCAGGCTGCGCAATGAGCCAGCCCTTCCACCGGCGCGAGTTCGCGCTGAGATCTGCGCTCACATGCGGAAACATCGGGCGAACTATGAGGAGTTTTGGCACGGAAAGGACTCGGCGAGCAAAAAGCTGGAGGACTTTGAGGACTACATCAAGCAAGCACATGGCGGAGGGAGGCGAGTGGGCGGGCAGCCTGGAGGCCTACGCGGCGGCTAAGACCTACAAGGCTGCTGTTTACATCATCCCGGCGCCGGTTGACATGGCGGCGGTGGTTTACAACTCCACGGCGAAGGCAAGGCTGGCGCTGTGGTACACGGACAAACCGGGACACTTTGATTGGCTGCACCCGGTGACGGGTAGCGAGTTGCCGGACTCCGTCACGGGCACGGCCGAGAGCAAGCAGCCAGGTGGTTTTCCGAGAGGCGGAGGTCGCGACCGACAAGACGAGGAGCGCTCTGAGGCCACGGTTCTGGAGGGAAGATTAATAAGGGTCTAGGGTTTAGGGTCTGGAGGGACGATTAACAAGGGTCTAGGGTTTAGGGTTTGGAGGGAAGATTAATAAGGGTCTAGGGTTTAGGGTCTGGAGGGAGGATTAATAAGGGTCTAGGGTTTAGGGTCTGGAGGGAAGATTAACAAGGGTTTAGGGTTTAGGGTCTGGAGGGAAGATTAATAAGGGTCTAGGGTTTAGGGTCTGGAGGGAAGATTAACAAGGGTTTAGGGTCTGGAGGGAAGATTAACAAGGGTCTAGGGTTTAGGGTCTGGAGTGCCCCATGTAGAAGTCCTCCAAGAGTGTCGCCAGCCAAGTTGGAGCTCCCCACCACTGAAGGATCGCGATAGCTGCTTGCGGGGAGACGCGGTCGAAGCACTTTCTCACATCGGCTTTGCAGCCCACAAATGTTCGCTTTGCTGCGCGTTGTTCTAGGAGGCTGCCGAGTTGCTCGTGGATGGCGTCGACAGACCGTCCAGGTAGCCCACCATGAAGACATTCCGGCATCCAGGAGCTGAACCAGGGCCTCAGCTGCGCCAGCATTTCCGATGCCCCCAACCTCCATGCCATCTGCGTGAGTGCCAAGGGTCGTAGTCCTCCATCTGGTTTCGGGATGCCCGCCACCCGGACTTGCTTCCATCTGAGAGGGAGCTTGCCTCTGTTAACAATGGCAGTCCATATCCTCGCCAGGTGGTTGAAGAAGTCCAAGGGGAGTGCCGCGACCAACTCGCCCGACCAGCCATCGAGTCCGCCCGCCTTATGCTTGGCCTTCCGAGCGCGTCTTCGCAGAAGGTGGCCATCGAAGTGGATCTCGCGCTCTGCCGCCTGAGTAGCTGGCCCCATGGTGTCAAGGAAGTACCGGAGGCGCTCCGTGTCGAAGTTTGCCGCTTCGCCCCAAAGCTTGTCAAGGGAAGCTGTGAGGCGCTCAGCCGCCGCCCCATTGCTCGGGCGCTCCCCAAGCTGGCTCACATCACACGCTGCATTGGTGACCTTGAACGTGATCCACTTGGCCATGGCCCCGACATCCATGTCGCTGTGTGTTTTAGGCGGCAGAGGACGCCATGGTGGATGAAGACGGTCGACCAGCTCTGTTTTGCAAGAACGCCGCCAGACCCGCACTAAGGAGCTCCAGGCGCTACTTGAGAGACGGCTGAGCTTCCGAGGCAACCAAGAGTGGCAATGAAAGGCTGCGGGAGAAACTCGCCCGTGACCTCACTTCTTTGGCTGGTGTTCTCCCAGACTCGCCGCAGGTTGTGGGCTACGACAACATTGCCAGCTACCTGAACGGCAAGGCCGAAGAGGAGGCGCAGCGTGCCCGTGCAGCACGCGTTAGACGGTGGAAGCACGACGTCCAGGAGGACCCTAGACCCTACACCTTATTATTAATCTTCCCTCCAGACCCTAAACCCAATCTTCCCTCCAGACCCTAAACCCTAGACCCTTATTAATCTTCCCTCCAGACCCTAAACTCTAAACCCTTGTTAATCTTCCCTCCAGACCCTAAACCCTAGACCCTTGTTAATCTTCCCTCCAGACCCTAAACCCTAAACCTTATTATTAATCTTCCCTCCAAAGAAAGATGGGTGGCAGTTGCTGGCGTGTTTGCTCCCAGACCGGTGGAGGCAGGGGCTTCGTTGCTGCAAGGATGTCCTTTCTCCCCGCTTCTGTTGAACTCTATGATGGGGATCTGGAGCAGGTTCGTCCAGTCTCAGGTGCCCCACATTGGCATGGGGATCTTCTTGGATGACAGAACGCTCTGGACTCGCGGACGTGACGCCGTGAGCCGTTTGGAGCTTCATCCCAACAAGTTGGAGTCTTTTGCTTGCAACGTGGAACAGCGCGAGGCCTTGATGGAGCACGCGGACCTCATCGGCATCCCTCAGACGGATTTCGTCCTGCTCGGCATCCCTTATAGGCTCGCTGGGCATCAGGCTTTCGACGCCAAAGACGTCACGCGGGAGCTGAGGGAGAGAGGGAGGCGAATAAGGCGGGTGGCTGTCAACACAACGACACGTGCGAGACTGGCAAGTTTGCTGATGATTTCCAAGTTCCGTTTCAGGAGCCCATGGACGCGCTTTGCTCGGCCAACGGTGAGGGACTGGACGGCGCAAGTTGAGGCGGCAGTGTGGGGAGGGCCTTTGGCGACTGGGCGGTCAGCTTTCCTTCTTTGGACCTTCCTGGGGGTGGACTTGCGTCCGGATTTCGCCATCATCGTGACAGTTCTGATCAAGGAGTGGCTCCGCATAGGGCGAGGTGGGCAAGGCCGCCGTGGACCTCGGGTCGACGACGCGTTGCAGTTGGCTGGCAAATCCTTGGAAGCTGGTGGCCTAACCCCACGTACTCGGCGCGATGAGCTTGAATGGGTTCCACGAGCGCTTGAGGGAGGCTTGGAGGCGGGAATTGTGGCGAGACACCAAAACTACGGGTGCTTTGCCAACCTTGGCGACGTCTTTGCTGAGACTGCGCCGTAGGTTTGTTCAGGATGGCAGGGCTCAGGCGCTGAGAGTTGCTGCTGCTGCTGCCACTGATGGTCGTGACTTGGCGAGGCTACATGCTCCCAGGGGTTGGTTCTGTGGAGAGCCGCATCCCTCGCGCCATCATCTAACCTTCGACTGCAGTTTGAGGTCCTGGAACCACGACCGGCGCTCGGAGCAGGAGAGGCGCATGCTTTGTGCCATTGTTGAGGACGAGGGCGTCATCATCCCGGACGATCAGGACGTTGAGGTGCAGGTGGGCAAGTTGACGAGGTGCTCATCCCACGACGGGACGGGCGAAGAGAGGACCGCAGCTGCAGGCGAGCGCGAGGCTTTTGCAGTGCTCTGCAAGAGCGGACTTCGTTGAGGACGAGAGGCCTTGAGCGCGCAGTTGGCGGCGACGGAGCCTTGGCACTTGGAGCTGAAGAAGGTGATGGCCGACAAAAGGCCATGACTTGGCGTGCGAAAAGGGCAGTGGCGTGAGCTACGAACTCTTCCTCTCCTTCATTGGCGGTGGGCGGCTACATCGTGTCAGTGTGCCGTACATTCGTAGGTGCCATGGATGCGTGGACGTTATTCATGAGCTCCACAGCGGAAGATTGAGTTTTAGACTTCAATTCTGAGTGTTGGTTGAGGGCTTTGGGATGCTGGGCCTGAATGAGGTAGGGTGGGGCATCCACCTCTTCCCCGCTTATGCCCGAACGCTGGACCCCCCCCCCCCCACCTACATCGCAACTTTACAACAGAAAATCCTTAAATTTAACATCCTCGCCCCTACCTTTTTCACCAACCCGCAACCCTGAATTTCCGAAATCTGAATTCCAAATCCACTTTCAGAACTGCCCTCCTAAATCCGTGGTTCATGATTTTGGAATTGATAATGCTGGTCAGCACGGAAACATTGAATTATATATGAGCCATGTAGTGATAACCAAATTTCCAACAAGAAGGGCAAGCAACATGACGCTATAATAAATGCTGAGAAGCCAGTACATCAGGATGCGGCATTGGAAGGGGTGCCACCCCTCGGAGCCCAAGGCCAATTTCTTCCTCGATGGCAACAACGGCCGCAACGTGGTGAAGAAGCGAACACAAGCTCAAGGTGCAAGGTGGCCAACTGGCAGGCTGGCACGGCGGCCCACATCAGGAAACACCATCCGGACGTGGCCGAGATCTTGGCAAATT